AACAACAACCGTTACTGAAAGGTGATTTGTAAGCTTGATTTCTAATTGGAGATTCAGACTCAGTTGACAATTCTCTCATAGAATGTGAATATTTCTTGTGAACATAAACTGCAACACCACCTCCAAGCCTATCAGTACGGTCTCTACGTTACAATGAATAATTTTCAACTGAAAGAAACAAATTTGGTATAGCAGGAGTCAGCCATGATTCTGACCAAACTATGGCCTTATTTATTTCAAAGTACAAGCCTATAATCTTCTGTAAAGAGTACAACACAACTGCTGGAACAAACACAGTGTATATAGGAAGTTTGCACAGGTTATGATCAGTGATTTCTTGAAAATTTCTGGTCACTCCTCCAGCAAAAAGAGCAAAAGCAATGCACTTATTAAAAATGTTATATATTCACTTTTCACTGATATATGTGACCAAATAATAATGCATATAACATATTTCATGTATTCCTGTAATATAAGAAAGATGCAGATAAAGACTTATTTTGTAAAAGCAATAAAATGAACCATATTGTTAGAAATAAATAAATTTAAACTAAAGTTCTTCGTATTTTCAAGTTTGCTGTTTGTCACAGTAAAATAAGACTGACAAAGCATGCATAACATATGTCATTTTTAACTGAATGTTAAAAAAACACTGTTAGTCCCTAATATTTATGTTGGAGCATTTTTAGTAACTGGAATGCTGCAAATGTGCATTCAGTCTGGTTCCCCATAATGGAAAACTTCACAAAACATGCAGCTGAAGAAGCCTTTGCTCAACTTCATCCTCATCAGGACTGCAGGTTTCTATCATCTCAGTCAGGTAGACCCAGAGGCCGTGTGCTCCTCTGAGAGTCAGACTCTTCCCAGCTGAACAGATCTGACTGGGTGGGCTGCTTGGACCTTAAAGCTTATTAAAAAGACAACAAGGTTTTACTTTCATACATACCGCCTGTTTTTAAATAGTTTACACTCACACAAGATGACAAACAAAGGAAAACTCAAAAAGGATGAAATCACTGATAAATGAATTGGTGAAAAGGAATATGGAGCTCCATTTGTGCCAAAAATATGTTGTTGTCCATGTTCTTATACCTTGTGTTGACACATAACGTCGTTTTGTTCTTCTCTAGTTATGTTGTTAGACCACGTTGTTGAATATGCTGCCTCCTTAAAGGCACAGTGTGTAGGATTTTGTCAATTCTTTTAGCCGAAATTGAGATAATCACTAATGACAATAATAAAAAACATGTCTAATCATTGCAGACAAAGACCTTGTTTTATTATTTTCACCTTATAAAAAGCTGTTTATATCTCCATGGTCGCGGGTCCCCACTACAGGTAGGGCTGTGTATTGGCAAGAATTTGGC